GAGAGAAGAGATAAAGAGATAAATATAAATACACACACAGATAAACAAATACAGCTTACCATAATAAATAAATAATATAAATAATATATATATATTAAATATATATTTATTATTATTTATTTATTATAATAATAAATAAAAAAAAAGAGAAAAAAAAATATATTTATATCTAGAGAGAGATACACTGGAGACAGTTTTGTTCAGGTAAACAATAAACAGCTGCTTCTTTCTCCCACTATATTTATTTTTTATAAATAAAATAAATAAAAACAAAATAAAAATAAAATAAAAATAAAATAAAAATAAAATAAAAATAAAATAATTATATTCAATACCATAAAAATATTATTTTAGGGAGACAGTTCTGCTCAGGTAAACACTAAAAAGTTTTTTTTTTCTCGTACTACGTTTATTTTATATAAATAAAAAAAATAAAAACAAAACCCAACAAATAAAATAAAATAAAAACAAATAAAATAAAATAAAATAAAATAAAAACATATAAACATACTATTTCGGGCGTAAGATGCGAGGAATGATGGCATTGGAGACAGTTTTGTTCAGGGAGACACAAAAAAGTTTTTTTTTTCTCGTACTACGTTTATTTTATATAAATAAAAAAAATAAAAACAAAACCCAACAAATAAAATAAAATAAAAACAAATAAAATAAAATAAACATACTATTTCGGGTGTAAGATGCGAGGAGTGATGGCATTGGAGACAGTTTTGTTCAGGGAGACACAAAAAAGTTTTTTTTTTCTCGTATATGTTTATTTTTAACCCAAAAAAAACAAAAACTAACAAATAAAATAAAATAAAAACAAATAAAACAAAATAAAAACATATAAACATACTATTTCGGGTGTAAGATGCGAGGAATGATGGCATTGGAGACAGTTTTGTTCAGGGAGACATCTTTTTCCAGCAGTTAAACAACGACAGGCTGTACATATTCCTTTTTCGTGTTTCTTTGTCATCCATTTATGGGCCTCAGTCATGTGGGGATTCATAAATACTATTTCCTGAGTTTTATAACATTTGTGCATGCATAGAGACAAAGGGAGACGTGAGAGAGAGAGAAAAAGAGACAAAGGAGACACAGAGAGAGAGAAAAGGAGACAAAGGAGACAGAGAGAGATGTGCGGGAGAGAAAAGGAGACAAAAAGAAATAAAAAGAGGATAGAAAGAGACAAAATACAAATCAAAAAGAGACAAAAGGAGACAGATAAAAAGAGACAAAAGAGAAACAAAAAGAAATACATTATATACAAAGGGAGACAGGAGGAGACATACTAGAAACAAAAGGAGACAAAAGGAGACAAAAGGAGACAAAAGGAGACAAAAGGAGACAAAAGGAGACAAAGAGAGACAAAAGGAGACAAAAAGGAGACAAAAGGAGACAAAAGGAGACAAAAGGAGACAAAGAGAGACAAAGAGAGACAAAAGGAGACAGAAAGAGACAAAAAAAGACAAAAGGAGACAAAGAGAGACAAAAGGAGACAAATCTATAAGATAGATAAACACTATCTCTTCTGTCTCTGTCTGCACTCCTTTCTCTATCATTTTCTCTCCATCTATCTATCTTTCTCTCTCTCTCTTTCTCTCTCTTGTTTCTATCTGTCTCCTTTATTAATTCTTTCTTTATTCTTTATTATTTATTCTTTATTCTGTTTTCTAGGGTTTAGGGTTTAGGGTTTAGGGTTTAGGGTTTACCCCCTCTTCGCCGACTAGACCCAAACGGGGTTTCCCCGCTGCACCGCTCTTCTCTCCATTCTCTTCTCCATCCTCACTAGGCAGCAAGTCCAAAGGCTGCAGCAGCAGCAGCAGCAGCAGCAGCAGCAGCAGCAGCAGCAGCAGCAGCAGCGGCGGGGGGGACAGCAGGGATGAGGAGCAGCAGACACGGAAAGCAGCAGCAAAAGGGATCAGCAGCAACGCATGCAACAGCAGCAACAACAGCAACAACCACAAACACTATCAAAACAACATCTGGCTAGCTAGCTAGCTAGCTAGCTATCTAGCTATCAATCCAGCTAGCTAGCTAGCTAGCTAGCTAGCTGGCTAGCAAGAAGAATAAAGAGAAGAAAAAGACGAAAAAAAAAACACCAAAATCAGAACCACCAAAAAAACCACCAAGACAAACCCAGAAAAAAAAAAAAAAAAAAAAAAAAAAAAAAAAAAAAAAAA